GTCAATTAACTTGGGTATGAAAAATATGTATATCTTCTGAGGACTTACGTGTAGATTGGGCCTGCTCCGAAGTATTTGAAGGAGCTCCATTTTGTACTACCTGTATATAATGAAGTTAGACGTACCAAATCCATATCTTAAATACTGTGCCAAACATATTGCTGATCCACAATAATCACTACCTCGGTAAAGTTTGCATTCTCAGATGTTGTTGCCGAAGATGAATTACTATAGTTCTCAAATGCAGTGTTTTGAAAAGTTTCTTCAGGAGAGACATCTACAAACGCTGCATATAAAAAGGATTCCACCCAATGAAAATGAAACAACTGTCATTCATAAGCATTAAGATAAAATGGTGTGTACTGAAGAAGCACTTTTTCAGCATACTAAAGATGTTACATCACATTAGCAGCTTGTAAAAACCAAGTAGCAGCTTGCAAAGATGACATCATGATGCCAGCAGAATAACACAGTCAGGTTTTCAAAAACCCATCAAATCATGAGAGAAAACCCAGAAAGTTTTTTTTAAAAATAGAATAAAATAAGAGAGCAGCTTTTATAAAAAAAATTTGCATTGACATTCATAAAAGTCAGGTCAGGAACCACTAATTGAAGCAAGTAACAATACCAGATCTTTTTCCTTCAGTCTTAGTTTCAGTTTCAGTTTCATTTTCAACAACTGCAGCCCCTGAAGGTTCTGTTTTAGTAGCAGAAACATCAACTGACACAGTGGCTTCAGAAGCAGCAGGAGAAGAAAAGGTAGCCTGGCTGGGTGCAGAAGAGGCATTCAGATCTATTGTAGATGGTCGTTGGTAAGAAAAACCAGAAGTACTAGAGCCTGCTGTAGGTGGAGGTGGGAATGGGAAAGGTGAGCCAGTAGAAAAAGCCGCATTACTAAATTGATTGTCTTTTGAGCCCATCTGATTCATCATAGTCTTGACAGCTACTTGCATTGCTTTTTTCTGACAGAATCAGAAGTTCAGTTCCAAAAAAAAAAAAAAAAAAAAAAAAAAAAAACAACAACAACAACAAAAAGGTTTGCGAGCAATAGATACATGAAGCTATAATTTCCATCATCCAGGACAACATAAGCATAGAAATAGTAAAAAATGAGACAGGTCAATTGATCCACAGGCAACAGCAATAAACATAGTATCATGAAATAATCAGGATACTAAACCTCTGCATCAATGATTTTTATAAGCCAGACATATACACACAACTGCAATGCCAAATGCCAAGTAATAAGGCAGAATTTTTGGTGAGTGATGACAGCACTTTGCAGGGCCCAAAAAATCCGCAGAACAACATCAGTTATCAATTAAAAGGTCTTGTAAACGACAAAGTTTAAATGTATTTGGCATCAATAACTAGTGACAATCCAATATAGATCCTACATGTAAGCTTGGTTTTAAAAAGCGCGCCTCGTTCCCAGGGCTCTGGGAAATGGGCTTTAGCTAGGCGAGGCTCAGTCAGCTACGGAAGGCACGCGCCTCGTGCGCCTCAAAGCGCCTTTGGTAAGGTGCACCTTTGCGCCTCAAGGAAAATAACTAAGATTTAAGTTATACATTGAAGAATGATGGACATTTTTTCAAATTCAGACTACCTTAACTTTACATATATCATTATTTAATTTATTACAAATCTTTTCAATTGGTATTAAGTACAATCAAAGTAAAAAAATATTTTGAAATACATATATAAATACATGCGCCTTGCATACAAAAGGCGCGCGCCTTTGCCTTGCGCCTCGCGTCTAGGCTGCAAGGACCATTTGCGCCTTGGTGCGCCTTGCGCCTTTTAAAACTAAGCATGTGAGAGGTTATGAAGATAAAGTATTCTCAAAAAAATATATGTAGTTAAAGGTAAAGAGCTACAAGTTTAAGTTATGCAATTTAATTTTTAAGCAATATCAAAAATGAAAGAGAGAAACAGAAAATAAACACTAGAATAAATAACAAACTAATAATGCATATTTTACAGTTAACACACCTAAGAGAAAGGGGAGAACCTAGGATTTCAGGACAGTAGGACACTATATAGATGTGAATGGTGGAAGAGGATCTTAAATTATGACTGCCACAGATCAAACATATGGTTCCAGGAGCCAAGTCCATCTTACAATTTACTAGATTTATTACATTTGCAAATAGCAAATCCTATTGCATACCCCCTATGAGTGTGGTAGTAACTAGTAAGCACACCCTATGCATCTATGAGTGTTGAAATACGAATATAGCCATATCTAATGGGTGCAAATCAGCTGTAATAAGAAGAAAGATGCATTTCCAAATTTTGTCCACAATTTCGTCCTAAACCTCATGTCCTCGTCTATAATTTTGATATGTATTACGAAGACATGCATCAAGTACCATTGTTGAAACTTAAAATCCACATGTATCTAAAAATTTTATCATTAGCTTTCCCAAGACCAATCTTTTCTCTCAAATCTCAATAGAGCACTCCATTAATTGTTCAATAGAATAAAGGGCTCATTGAGTTGGCATGAAAGCAAATAAGGCCTTTATTTCCTCTCCTCAATCTCTTCTTTGTCACTCTTCCAGCTTGCTTATAATCATGATTTCGAACTTGTTATAGCATTAACTGTCTCCTCCACAACTCCAAAAATCTTAAGTAATAAACACCAGCCACCAGCTCAAACGCAGATTGTAGTAGATGCCATAACAAGTCATAGAGAATATAATAAGACTATTCAAAGAGAGAATTGTGCTATGTGAAAGTTCACTATATAGGTGTGGCAATTCCAAGGAGCATGATAAGATGTTAATGTATAGCGTGGATTTGAGAACTCGAAATAAATTGCATGATTGCAAACTCAATCACTTTCATCCTACAATTAATGCTCTCAGTTCAAAAAACCCTACAATTTATACAAATAATTGATACACATACAATTCAATTAGCCAATTCCTAAAACCAAACAAAACTTACCTGCGTCCATGAAGAAACAAAGGAGAAAATGGCAGAGATGCCAACACCAACTCCAATCCAAAACAAAGGTGACCCACTACAAACCCACATAAACACAAGTTAGAATTAAATAATTTGAAACTAAATTCAATCCCTAAAAATAAAAATAACAGCAAAAAATGCATTAAAAACCCAAAAATAAGAAAAATCAGAGAATTTACAACTGAGAAGAGGAAGGTGGAGGATAAGTTTGTGGATTAACACCAACAGAAGTAGTTGTCTCTTGAGAAGTTGCAGAAGTACTTGCAAATAATTCAGCTCCATTATCTTTCTTCTCATTCTTAGAAGATTTTCTCCTAGAATTTGGGGTGGAGAAAGCAAATAAGATTGTTTTTGATCTGGGTTTTGAAACTAAGAGAAACCCACTTGGTTTAGGGGGTAAAAGAGGGAGCCCAAAACACTGTTTTGTTGAAAGGGTTCTATAATTTGGGGAATAGCTTAATCCCATTACAGGGTTTGATGAAACTAGGGCTAAATTTTCCATCTTTTTTGGATTCAGATGATAAGAATTCCCAGAATTGAAGATGGGAATTATTGAAAATGGTGGTTAATTGTGAATTGGAGGATGAAGATGCTAAAAAGTTGCGAGTTTTAGCTGAGTGAGCGGAGAGAGAGAGAGAGTGTTGCCGTATTGGCTTCTGTGGGACAGAAAATCAATTGGGAAGAAGAGTTCACAAACAATGGGTTTAAGTGAAGATGGTCTCGTTATCTCTATTTTCTTGGGCTGTGAAGATGCCCAGTTCTCCCACACCAAGGGCTTGGACTTTGTTTCTCCAATAATCGTATTCGAGTTGATTATGGATCGTCGATCCCTGGATGGAAATTCATTTTGTCGTTTATCATTGTGATTAAATTTTATATAGAGTAATAATGATATAAATATTAATAACTACGTATTTACGATGTGACTATGCTTAAATACTTGATAAAGAATATTTAATTAATAATCTATATGGATCGTCGATCCCTTGATGGAAATTCATTTTGTCGTTTATCATTGTGATTAAATTTTATATAGAGTAATATAATAATATAAATATTAATAACTACGTATTTACGATGTGACTATGCTTAAATACTTGATAAAGAATATTAAATTAATAATCTATATTGATTACGAATATAATTTTTTCAAAAATATTGTGACTTGTAAGCAACTGTATTTATACAATCGGAGAGTCAAAATCTTGCACATAATATAGATGTTAACGGTCAAATAAGTGAATGACTCATTAAATCGCAAAAGTAAAATAAGAAGATTATTTATAAGAGAAAGTATTAGTATAGAGTAGCAATATAGCATGATACTTTCACCCCTATGATACACCATGGCTTTCTATTCATCATTCTGTATTATCCTCCAACTCTGGGCTATCTCCACATTCGGTGTACGCCACCACCTCCATGACAACAGCCTAAAATCGCTACCAAGTATCCTTCCTCCGAGCTTCTAGGGGTCATGGAGTGGAAGGTGTTTTGGTCACATCAAGCATTCAAGCTTCAATGAGGCTTGATATTGTCCATTGGCAATACTCTCAACCCTTCTAGTATTCCTGTTGTACATTGAGATTTCTAGGATATTTGGATATGACTATTGTTGATCTTAACATTCACTGGTTCGAACATCTACCAAACTGAGGAAGTTTTTCCCAAGGAAGCACTAAGAAGTGTATGTGTATGTGGTATTGATTTGTGAATTGTAAGCAACAATAATCAAAATTGTAAGGCCGGTGTCGATATGCATTTGGAGACGGCTAGCACTTGTAAAACAATGCAAGAGCATAGTGTAATTTAAATTTATCCCAAGCACTTTGCGATTCAGTGTGATTGTTTACTAATGTTTGTCAATCATATCAGCACCCTTAGGCCTTAACACATTTGGGTTCAACACTAAAACTCAGTTTCTGATGCATATAGCAGCCACTACATTAGCAGTCATCATCTACTGATCTACATACCAAGTCTTTTTCCATCAAGTAACAAATTTCAGGAAGAACCCAGGGGGCAAAATTCAGATATATCAGCTAGCGTACATCAGCTAACATATCGATATGTAACATATGTACCAGCATTCTCACTAGGTCGTATGATCTTCACAACTTGCCCACGTTGAAGGCCGTAATATCTTGCAACAGCGTCAGTGACTGGCATGCTCGGTAGCTGAAAACAGGAAGTCAGAAAGCATAAAAGAGATCAACTAGACAGTAAAGACTAACATGAGCAATACATTTATATAAATGCGAATACAGGACATTTTCTACAAACATGGATGAGCTGATCATGCATTAAGTTACTGACCTGAGTTTCCTTAACATGATACTTCTCAAGCACTTCCTTCTTTTCCTCATCTGTAAGCACCTGATGCACTGGAACAAGATCGTGCTCGGTAACATTATACATCAGTTCAGAATCCTGCATCACAAATTTTACTGGGTCAAATTGACAGCAGTAAATTCTGCACACATGAATCCTAGTAATTTTCAGCCCTATAATTCAACAATTATGTAATCTTCAAAAAGAGGGTATGTTATCACTCACCAGGAAGACCTCTAACCTTATACTTGGCAATTGAACAGCCTTCTTTGCTGCAGTTGTCAAACCATGTTCAGTCACCAAGATTGCCTTGTATATTTTCTCAGATTGCATTCTCTCAATGCATTTCCTGAGTGGGACTATACCTATGATGTCCTTGGATGGCTCCGGAATCAGAAAGAAAACCACAATCTGTAGCACGACAATTTGACTAGTTAAACGTTGTGTTACTCAGACTCTTCATTTCATCTCAATTACCTATGCCAAATCTGTAACACTCCAATAAAGTTATAAACAGAACGTGCATATACATTTATCGTACAAAGGCCAACTATAACACTTAGCTTCGACATGTACCAAAGTATGACATGAGTATATACAAGAATATGGTAATAACATCCAGGAAATTAATGAACAACTTGAATGGTTTAATTAATTACCTGATCAGAAGTATCATATCGCTTATTCTTAATCATGAAAAGGTTGTCTCGGGTCATGTTGTCACCAAAATGCTCAATAAACTGTTGTTTGGTCATGTTAATTTCGTCATCTGTTACTAAATAGCCTCGATCATTCAACATTTGCATTAAAGTTTTCCGAACTTTGTGGAGTTTCTTAATTTCTTCATCAGAGGAAGACATTTCCTACCAAGAATGTCCACAAAAAATAAAGCAGGTTATAATATAAATTCGCGGTCACTTTTGTACTAAACACCAATTAGTTTATGGCCGACCTATAACAGCACAAAATTGGAAATTTGTCACGTAGAATCTAGATATATAGCTAATTAATCACACTAGCACGTCAATAGTTCAAAATTCAAGTCGATACAAATGATATTTAATGAACCCTAAACGAAATAACGAGGACCCATTAGATAGATATATTGTACGTATTGGATTGTAATTTTGTAACATATGTACGAATTACTATTATATTCTACTAGTAGCAAAATAATAGATTTTTTTTAGAGATCGTAAAAGAAGAGTTTGGCATGAACATACATTTTACAATTATGTACTAGCAACTAGCAAGCAGAGTCATAATAAATGTGAACTTTGAATATAACACAATAGTTAATTACAAAATTTTACTACAATCAACCATAAATGAAACAACATTGATATGAAAGAAAATGAGTAATCAAAATAATAGGGGTATTTGCCCAAAAAAATAATAATAGGGGTATTAATTTCAAAACAAAAACAATAAAAAAAACATAACAAAGATACATAAAGATCGGAGCTTTATGCTTTAGCATAAAAAGATTGCATGGGTTTTAAGATTGAGCTCAAGAAATTAAATTAGTACTGAATTATGAATAAATAAAAATAAAAATTGAGAATTTTTCTTACAATGGGTCAGGAATTCAGGTGGCGGCAGCGAGTGGAGAAGGCAGTGCAGGAGAGAGATTAGTAATGCAATATCCCAACAAATTCAAGCTCGTACCCTATCAATGTACCAGCTACTTGTACCATTTTTAACATTCCCTTTGTATGATTGCCACATGCATCTTTAATTTCTAACACGCCAATTTTATAAAAACAGTACAAACCATTACGCCACATGTTACCTCATTTAACCCTTTTCAACGTATAAATTATAAAAAGACAGTGCTACTAACTATGATTTATATGAATTCATCGTTATGTATTTGTCAATGTATAAATTATAAAAAAGACAATACTGCTAAATCATAATCTATACATCATTACTACGTGCATACTTTGCTTTTGTCATTATTTTTTTTTTACACGGTAAGACACAGGGGGTGGTGCCCCTCCTATCACAAGAAGGGTGGGGTGAGGCTTGAACCCAGATCACTATTGGGGGAGATGGAGGGACAAACCGTCCCTCAACTCAATGATCCTCTGCTTTTGTCATTACGTGGCATATTTCCTCTAAAATTAATTGGGTTGACTCAGTGCATAATTTAACCTAATAAGGTACAATAACTCAGCCTCACCAAATGAAGGACTTGCTCCTTATTCCATTTTCATCATCTTTCATATGTGTTGTAAGCGAGAATAAATATATAGAGTCGCCTGTTTGGAAAAAAAAAAAGTGTAAATAATGCTATTTTTTACCAATTAATACTAATGTACAATTATTGGATAGAAAAAATAAAATAAAATGCCTGTTATGACAATATAATTTTCAGATCAGAGCACCAGGGTGAATCGAAGTCATTACATTAGGCAATTAGCCAACTAACCAGCGGCTCGACAAATACCTGATAAATTTTGAAACCATATGAAATGGGTTTGGGCAACCTGAACAAGGAGGAGGAGAGTTTGGTCCACAAACAAGGATTAAGAGCTTGACAATAGTAGGAGTAACCCCTCTACCTTATAAAGTGGAACCACCTCTATTCTTTCTCCAATGTGGAACACTCACAAGTGGGCTACAATGGGTTTCAACAAAATACAACTCTCCCTCTTAGTGAAAATACTTTTTGACAACTTACGAGCGTGAAAAAGACATAAAATTTGACTCAAAATGCTATACAAATTCATAAGTAAGCATATGGTTTCGATCTTATAATATTTTTTTTTTCGATCTTATATATGTAAATGGATGTCCGGTGTAAACCATAAATTTAAATTTGATGACACCATTAATTAATAAATTGGTGATGTCTACAACCAACCTTGGCAATTATAAAGCATTGAACAATTTCGGTCCACTCTTTAGTATGGAGTGTAAATCCTTGACAAAATAACTTATAATTTGTCATCAATCAAAAGCTTATCTTGATGTTTGATGTTCAAGAATATGTTTTATATTCTATTAATTATAATTTCTTTCAATAATATTGTGAGTAACACTGCATTAGAGAGTCAAAATTTAACACATAATTTAGATGTTAACGGTCAAATCATGCATTAGGTTGTGAAAGTAAAACAAGAAGATTAGTAGTATAGAACAGATCATCATGCTATCTCTACATCATGGCCTATAATAATACACCATGGCCTTCTATTCATCATGATATCTCCACATTTGGTGTACGCCACCACCACCATAACAATGGCCTAAAAATTGATGCACTTCACACACTACCAATTACGGAGTACATGATGAAATAAACAACTATCCAACTTATAAAATTTCAAGAATTTCCACTTCCCCTCATTTTATATTGTCGACCAAACAAGATCTAGAAGTATTTTTTAGTTACATGAGGCTGAATATGGATTCGAAGACCTTCAACCGGGTATGGATTTGGGTTATAAATCACCTTTTCATTTGGATTAATTTTGTGGAGTTTGAATTTAGTCACCACATTGTGCAGAAATACGAGTATTTCAATTCTTGTGTATTCTTTCCCTGTACACATTCTAGGCCCTGCTCCAAATGGTACAAATGCAAAGGGTGGCACTTTGTTGCTTTCAAACCTTGTCGGGTCGAATTTTTCTGGATCCGGAAATATTTTCGGGTCCATATTTGTTGAATGGTTATTCCAATGTACCTAATTCATACAAGAGTATAAGAATAGACAACCGAGTAATAATTATGAAACTAGCAATGAATTATTATGTGCTTCATTCACATCTAGATTATTGATAAATGAATGGTTCGTGGTTTCGTACCTTCCATCCCTTAGGAATGTTAAAACCAGCATAAGTGACATCAGTGATGGTCTCTCTAAAACTTCCTTGGGCGGGTGGTTCAAGTCTCATTGTTTCACATACTGCATTCCATGAATACTTCATTTTTTGTACATCCTTCCATGTTAGTAGTTCCCCTGCCTCTTTTGATTGCGCAATCTCCAATTGCTCTAACAATCAATCCACATATATATATACATATGCATATTACTTCAAATCACTGATAGTCATATTAGTAAGTATATTTCAAACACAAAGCAAATTTTTGGATTAAGGGCATGTTCACTTCAGCTTAATTTAAGTTCAGTTCTATTCATTTCAGCTCCAATTAGTTCAGTTTAGTTTAGCTCTGCTACTAATTTCCTTCTCTCATAAAATATTCATTTCAGCTCAGTTCACTTCAATTCAGTTTAGTTCAGTTCAGCTCCAATCTGTTCAGTTCACTCATTTCAGTTCAGTAAATATGAATAGGCCTTAATTAAACTTGACTTCAATTTTGAGTAGTACATTAAAGTATATAACCGAGTTTAAACTGACCTTAGTCCTCATTACTATTTGCAACATATATGGATACACTGTTTTTTAGGTCAAATGTTGACTCAACTGGACTGGATGAACCCGATCGAATCAAATGACTTGTTTTTGCTACAAAAAAAAAGGATAAAGATGACTTAGATCAAGAAAATACCTTGTAAAACCTTGTCATAAACATGAGGATATTTAGCAAGGTTGTCTATCACAAAAGTGATAGTGTTGCTTGTAGTAAAAAAACTAGCGAACAAGAGAGAAATAATCCGTCCAGCAACAACCGTCTCATCAATCATCACCCCATTCTCTTGAGAAGCCATAAGCACCCTAGTCAACAAGTCGAAACCACCGTGATCTTTCCGAGATAACTCGATTTTCCTCTGTCTAATCTCATCAACAAGCTTACTTCGAAGCTCAGCTTCCCTCTTTCGAGCTTTGTAGTAAAGGGTGCCAGGAAAATTAATAGGCATCGCCACGGTCCCCTCGTTCAACACGTAAAAAGGTTCCGAAATACCCTTTACTTGTTCACTCTTATGGTAATCAAGAAACAAGCAACAAGAAAGAGCAAAAGTAAACTCCTTTGCAAGTAAGTGAACTTTTACTTCATTAAAAGGAACCCAAAAAGATTGTAAATGTTGTTGTGCCTTAGAATCCATAATAGGCACAAGATATTGCATCGAATCGACCTTAAGGAACTTGTGTAATTCCTCTGTTACTAATCTAGACGATGATGAATTCGTGTCGATGTTTGTCACTGAAAGAATAGCTGCAACCGAAGGAGGCAACCAAAATTTGAACAGATTTGTTTCATTTGAGAAGATGAATTTGTTAGCAGAAGGACCACATAAAACAGCAACTTTTTCCCCTATGATCGAGGTCTTGAATACATCTGGGGAATACTTCATCATTCGATCCCATACGAATTTTTGGTTGTTTGAGACATATTCTAAGGTTTCTCCTATTATTGGCCACCCATTTTTGCCTGGAGGAATGTTATACAAAGATGAACACCTGATTTTTGTTTTGAAAACAGAGAAATATAAAATAATTATGCTGATAATAAGTATTAGAAAGGTTGTATAATTATTAAGCACATACACAAATATGGATTCCATATTTTTTGTTCTAAAATTCAAATAATTTTGAGATTTTTTTAGAGATACATATAGAAAAATATGTGATAATAAGAATTATGAAATGGGTAGAGAAGAAATAAATCAAGAAATTGTGTGAATGGTGTATATACTAATTTAATATTGGCATTATTGGGTTGAGTCTAATCTTTTGAATTGGATCACTGTTGGGAATAATTTTTTTTTCATGGTAATGATATGGGTTAGGCCCCTACGACCCAGCAAGCCCTTGAGACCTCTTTAAGCCAACTCAAAACTACAATAGACTAATAGATGGCAACAAGCGAGATCCAAACCTTGTAAGGAAATGTCAATCTATGAGTTTGATTTCTACGTAAAATACATAAAATGTCCGTTACTTTTTTATGTATTCTTTTTATTTGGTGATCTATATGTTTCGAAATTAAAAAATATGATTCGTGAGCATTCAAATCTAATACAATCAATAACTAAACAATTTACTATTCCATCAATTTCATATTGTTCTTCCTACTTTACTCCATCAATTTCATATTATTCTTCCTACTTTACTACCTTGAGAGTTAATTGATAAGGAATTTTATAATTTGATTGCACCCTACCATTATATCTTAAGAAAAAGTAATTCAAGGTGTAAATGTAGTTGACTAAAAATTAATCATTTTCTACTTATTTGATGAATAGGAAAAATTGGCGGCATAAACTAAATTCTATATTAATCTTAATTTTTTTTTTAAAAAAAAAAAAAAAAAAAAAAAAAACTTAAGCAACTAATCCATTTGCCATCCATGCTATTGTTCAAAATTTCAAATATAAATATTATAGTTAAAATAGCAAGAGTAATGGAGTATTGTTTTTTTTTTTTTGGTGTTTAGAGATCGAGCCACAAGGGCCGGGGTGAGAATCGATCCCATGACCTCTTAAAATCGGGAGGGAAGCTCTAACCACTAGAGCTATCCCTCACTCTCAGAGTAATGGAGTATTATAAACAGAGTATTGATTTACTACTACATTGTTACTTTGTTAGCATCAGGCATATTCAAGAAAGTTGTATCGATGAAATGAATTTATTACAAGGGGTAATTAACATGAGATATGGTCCCTGTAATTTTTTTTCTTCAATAGACGAAGGAGAGGAGATCCATAATGACTTGGTTGGAAAACATTAGGAAGGATATGAAATATATGGATTTGCAAGAGGATGAAGCATTGGATCGTAGGATTGTAAGGGATGGAGGAAGAAGGTTTGGATCAATGTCTACACAGAATAATCAAATTTGGTTCATTTAGCCGACCTCACTTATGAGATTAAAGCTTTGATTGATTGATTGATTGTTCATTTAACTATGTAATTCGAGTAATTAGTATTTATTTAGTTACTTGATTTGCAAAGTTAGTCACGGAGCTCAGGTCATTGGTGGTAGGTGTAGATATTGTAGTTCGGTACATAACATGTAGTCATATATGAAATACTTCCTTTGATCCATTTCACTAACTAAATTTCAATACAATTTGATTTACTTAAACGTGCAAAATCCGAATTACTAACAGGACATGATTGTGGTACACAACATACAGGATATAATTACAATATAATTACAAGTAAAAGGAACAAATATATGTTACGTTTATATACATCATACATGTAAAATTATGAATTAGGCTGAAGGTAAACATGGAGGCCTTCTGCAGGAACTGGATCTGGGTTATAGAAAATCTTTTCATTAGGATTCACCATCTTAAATCTGAATTTAGTCACCAAATTATGAAGAAAAACGAGCGTCTCCATTCGAGCATATTCTTTACCGGTACACATCCGAGGTCCTCCCCCAAATGGCACAAATGTGAAAGGTGGAGGTCCGCTCCCTTCAAATCTTGAAGGATCAAAGTTTTCAGGATCAGGAAAGTACTTGGGATTCATATTTGTAGAATATGCACTCCAATGGACCTATATATATATATATATATATATATAAAAACAAACAATCATCGACGAAATTATTAATTAAAGTTATGTTATAATAATTAACAAAATCAATGTACCTTCCATCCTTTAGGGATGTTAAACCCTGAATAAGTGAAATCAGTTATGACTTCCTTATAACCGCCTGTGGCCGGGGGTCTAAGTCTCATGGTTTCACAAATTACATTCCAAGAGTACTTCATTTTTTGAACATCTGCCCAAGTGAGGAGATCTCCTGCTTGTTTTGTTTTTTTGATCTCCATTTGTTCTGTTATATAGTACCACGACAAATGAGTAATGACACATAAAATTAAAGCACGGTACAATAACAACGAACCAGCTTTGCTACATAAAATGTGTAAGTACCTTGTAATACTTTTTCATAAATGTCAGGGTGTTTGGAGAGGAAGTAGACCACAAAGGCAATGGTAGTACTTGTAGTGTAAAAACTAGCAAAAATAAACCCAACAATAACACGAGCAACGTCCTCCTTTCTTACAGAAGTTCCGTGCTCATCAGTAGCCATAAGAAACTGGCCTAACAAATCGCGGTCATAAACAACCTGGTCCTGCTGCTGCTGCTGCTGCTCAACATCAGAGAGTTGGATTTTCCTCTGCTCCATGATCTCGAAAAGTTTCTCCTGAACAAGTGCTGACTTTTTAAGAGCTTTGTAGTAAGGCATCCCAGGAATGTTAAGAGGGGTTGAAAATATCCCTTCAATGAACTCGAAGAAGGGGTCACGAAGTTGCTTAATTAATTCAGGACTTGGGTTAGAAAACTCCACAAAAATCCTGCAAGAGAGCTCGAAAGTGAACTCTTTTGCTAAGGGATGAACCTTGACTTGATCAAAAGGCAACCAAAATTCATCCAAATGTTGTTTAACCATAGAGTCCATTGTACCAACATATTGTTGGATACAATCTAGCTTCAAAAATTTATGGGATACTTGATCTGCTAGTTTGTAAGAGAGGGAATATGGGTCAGCATTTTGTTGAGCAAGAGCTTTGGAGATGGAGCGAGGAAGCCAAGATCTAACCAACTTCAACTCATTGGAGAAGATGAATTTGTTCGATGTCGGCCCACAGAAAATGGCCATTGTTTCACCAGCAAGTGAGGTCTGAAAGACATCAGTAGAATGGTCTCTCATCCGATCAACTACAAAATTCATTGGGCATGACACAAATGTTGTAGTTTCTCCTATTAGAGGCCAACCCTTTTTGCCTGGTGGTTCAAGTTTTGAGGAGGTTTTCGAAATTATTTGGATGATTTGAGTGACTATCACTATGATAATTGTTATGCATAGTCCAACCATAAAGATTGAATCCATATTTTGATGGTTGCAAATGATCAAAGTTCTATGTTTTAGAGGATGGAACTTTTTTAGTTTTTGATTAAAGGCCACAATTTATCATTATTACTACATAAAAGATAAATAATACTCTTTCTGATCCGTTTTGGATTAATCGCAACACTAAGTTTAACTCATATTAAAAATAAAAATAAATAAATAAAAGGGTGGGGACCAAAGTGATGATTTTATTGTATTAGTATAGTTCGTAGGGATATATACGAATATTTAATTGTGTTAGAGTACCAACTCAACCAAAAGTTTAAGCTAATAATAGTGAGAGATAAGTAATACTTGTAGAATAATATAGTGGACTCTTACCAAATAATAAAATATTGTAATTAATTAGAAACGGTAAAGAAGAAATTGTTGCAATTAATATGAAATTGATGTAGTAGTCAGCAATTATAATATCTGCAACTACATACAATACAATTAGGCATTCCTAGTTTCCTATCCATGTATTGTTTATATACTCCGTATATGGTAAAATTCTGATTGTCTTTAATAACTAAATTATATAAGTAAAAAAATTGTGCACAATCTTTTTTTTTTTTTTTTAAGGAATCGTGCACAATCTTGTTAGATTTATTTAAAACATTATTTTCATAATGACAATTCTTTTTTAGAATTCATCATTAATTTAAAACTAAAATTTTTAATGGAGTATCTTTCAAAAAAAAAATTATTAATGAAGTAATAAGCAAAGGTGTATATTGGAGAAATGGAGACCAATACACAGTGCAACTGTAAAACAATAGATGGACCAAAAGCCCGCTATATTTGGCTCGAAAAGGCAGGTTTTTGATACAAAATCAATGAAGTTAAGGTCATTGGAAAATTTGGGGTTTCCAATTACTGTACAAATTGGAGAAGACAAATTCGGACTGGGACATTGGATTGGAATTTCGATGTTCAATATCAAATGAAAGTAATGGAGATGAAAAACGGATTAGATAATGGAATTTCAATTGAAAATTATGAAGATGAAGAACATTTTAGATATTGGTAGGGATGTCACTGGGGCGGGTCAAGTAGGAGACCCGCCCCAATGGGCCGGGGATGAGTCTCGGTTTGGCGGGTGGTGGAGCGGGGATGGGGATAAAAACCATACCCGCCATGGGTGATGGGGCGGGGGTGGGTTTTAAGTTGTACCCGCCCCATCTCCACCTCATACCCACATCTATATATCTTTTAAAGCAAAATTACATACTTTTATTCTATTTATAAAATAATAACATGAAATACAATATTAATTATAATACTTTCTACGACACTTATATTATAACACAAAAATATGTATAGAATGTTTTATTTTATAATTCGTATTAATTATGTAAGATTGTGTATTTGAGATGCTGATATTAGGTGGATTTTGGGTGGGGATTAGGCGGGTCTTTGGTGGGGATGGATATCCAAGTGGGGGTGGGGCGGGGATGGTTTTGGAGTTGTACCCGGTGGGGCGGGGATGGGGATGAAAATTGGACCCGCCGTGGGGATTTGGATGGGGACAGGGATGAAAATATTAGGTGGGGATGGGGATGGGAAGACCAACATCCGTTCCGCTCCGCCCCATTGACATCCCTAGATATTGGAATTTCAATTGAAATTAATGGACTTTCTCCAAATGAACTACAATGGGGATCGAGCAACACACATTCGACATTATCATGATCTTCATTGATGAACATCCGTGGAGAACCGGAGATGAAGCATAAAGAAGAGAGATATTTTTCTAATTTTTATAATTAAAACTGAATTTCTACATAAAGTTTCATATGTGACGAGTCATACTCCCTTACCAGTGTTATTTGGTAAGGGGTTACTCGATCGGTCATGGACTCATGGGTTACTCGATTAGTGGTCATGAGTTACTTAGATTGATCGGTTAGAGGTTACACGGTCAGAGGTTAACTGGTCAGTTAGGGGTTACTCGGTTAGTTAGGGGTCATTTGATCAGTATTTTGGTGTGTTTTACCTTGTCGCACAGTGTAGCTGGAAAAAAAAAAGTGATGTTGTAGAAAAGGTAATAAATCTATCGTTATCCTCCATTTTTACAGCCTTATGCCATATGGAGTTATGGTGGTCAATTTTTTTTAGTACTGTATAGTGTATATTGCCATTAACACTGATGACAAGGCTATTCAAACAAATCAATTCAACACCAATTATTCAATAACAAGACACAAGTATCATTATCATTTCTTATATATACTCCGTATTAACAACAAAAGTAATATATTGCGTCAAACAAAAAAAAATGTCTTGTTTATTCTAAAATCAAACAAATCAACTCCAATAATTTCAATTACAAGGATAATCAAACAAATCAACCCCAATAATTTCAATAACAAGACATGAATATCATTATCATTTCTTATATTAGGGACAAAAGTATCCATGTCTTGTTTAGTATATAAACATACTATACATACATCGTATATTAACCAATAATTAAATATTTAAATGTTACACTATCAACTTTTTTTGAAAATAAATAAATAAATAAATAAATCACGTTTTTATCACACCATTAACTTCATGACAAGGATAATCAAACAAAACAACCCCAATAATTTCAATAACAAGACATGAATATCATTATCATTTCTTATATTAGCAACAAAGGTATCCATGTCTTGTTTATTATACGGTGTACAAACATTCATACATCATATATTAACCAATAATTAAATGTTACATTATTAAATTTTATTTTATATTTATTTTTTTTTAAAAAGTGACACCATCAACTTCATGACAAGTTTAATCAAACAAATAAATCAACCACAATAATTCAATAACAAGACACAAGTATCATTATCATTTCATTTTTTTTCTTTTTTTTTTTTGAATAAAATTATCATTTCATCTTTATGTTAAAAACAAAAGTAGTTTCTTGTTTTGTTTGTTTTTTGTTTATTTTTATCTAAAATCATACATTCTCGCATTTGAATAAATTAAGCGGTACACCATTAAACTTTAATTTATGACAAGGGTAATCAAACAAATCAACCCCACTAAATTCAATAAGACAATGACAAGACACAAGTTTTACTTTTTTATTTATTTATTTTTTTATTGACACAGACACAAGTATCATTTTTATTTCTTATGTTAGCAACAAATGTATTAAGCCGTTAGTGTCCCATTTATTCTAAGAACACAAATAATACTCGTATTTTATCCATTTATATTAAATGTTACACCATTAACTTCATGACAAAGATAATTTTGATAGAGAAATTTTGTATGGAGCAACATGTTTTCACTTATAAATAGAATCAACAAGTTAATTAAATAATTATAAGTTAATACTCTTAATAAAATACATACTCCGTATGTTAACAACGGAGTAGCTATAGGCCTATAATATAGAAATTATTTTATACATACGAGTACATGGTGCATTCAAGAGTGTTTTTTGCTAATTTTGATGATTATTGCTCATTTTATCATCAAATGAACAAACAAATATCCTTAGATGTACCGTACATCCGGATATATAAAATTATCTTTCGCTATAGTACGGATCTCAAGTTGTAGCTATCTAATTTTATTGCTAAAGCTTTGTGGTAATGATATGGAGTAATAATTAATGGTAATTGGTGGAGTACATGATACACAAATATTGTTGCGAATTGGAGGGAATTTGGTAAACAAATGGGACTATCAATTTGGGACTAAAAATTGACCATAAGAGACTTGATAAGGACATAGGGAGTAAGAATTTGCGATTAAATCTTGTCTACATACATCCATCGATATCATTGCATGTATATAGTATGTAATATGTGGCTCACTTCGATGATAAATATATCATACTTTGTACTCTGTATAATTTTATCATATGAGTTTTCATCCTACAGAAACAAGAATGGAGACCACACTCAATTACCCAATTTCAATTATTCTAGTAATAATTGTATTAATTATTTTGTGGAAAGTTGTAAATGGAGTTTGGTTAAGGCCAAAAAAAATGGAAAAGCTGCTAAGAAGGCAAGGTTTTAAGGGTAATCCCTACAAATTCATTGTTGGAGATGTAAAGGAGATTATAACTCAAACAAAACTCGCTTTGGGAAAACCTATTAGTTTGGAAGATGATCACCTGCCTCGAATTGTATGTTTTATTCATCATATTATTCAAAACTATGGTAAGCAAAGTAATCAACTTTTACTTTTTTTTTTTTTTGGTTATAAACATAATTGCATTGTACTTTTTTAGTTTTATCATATGTTAATTTTCGAAGATTCGATAATACTGTAGGTGAACAATGTTTTGCTTGGATGGGTCCGACTCCTTGGGTGATCATCACAAATGCAGAGAAGATAAAGGATGTTTTGATAAAATATGAAGATTTTCAGAAACCAAATCATCCATTTACCCAATTACTCATGGTAGGTTTGTTTGGCCTTGAAGGCGAAACTTGGGTTAAACATAGAAGAATAATCAACCCGGCATTTCACATGGACAAATTGAAGGTAAATTGTTCATATTATATCGACTATTGTATATTTGTAGTCGTGTTGCTTTGATTTTTCGTTTTTTTTTTTATCAACTAGTGATACTGTATAGTATGTGACAATTTATTCTAGATGGGGTAGTATTTCCTAAGGAATAATATTATATTTCTTATCATTTGGTCACAAATTATAAATGTCGTGCATGATTTTTTTTATTTTTTCTTCGTCTGCTACTTTGAAATGAAGAGTATGTTCCATTCAATACACGAGAGTTGTAGCTTGATGACAACTTCTTGGGAAGAGATGATTTCGAAAGGTGGATCAACTTCAGCAGAGATAGATGTATGGCCTTACCTTGAGAGTTTGACCGGTGATATAATTTCTAGAGTAGCCTTTGGCAGCAGTTATGAGAAAGGGATAAGAATATGTGAATTGCAAACAGAACAAGTCAATTTATCGATTGCTAGTCCACAAGCATCAAATTACATCCCCGGATGTAGGTATGACGTAGTACTCTTACTGAACATGTTCTGTTTTGTTTACCTTATTTCCACTTTTTCTAATGAATGATAATTTTTTTTTTAGATTTTTGCCAACGAAGAAGAATCGTCGAGTAAAAGAAATTTGCAAAGAGATAGAAGAATCATTGACAGAAATAATAGATTTGAGGAAAAAGGAGATGGAAGCAGGGGCAAGCACCAAAGATGACCTTTTGGGCATACTACTAGAATCTAGTATGAAAGAAATTAAAGAACATGGAAATGAAAAGGGAAAAGGTTTAACTACCAAAGAGGTTGTTGATGAATGCAAGATTTTCTACTTAGCTGGCTCAGAAACAACCTCTACTCTTATTGTTTGGGCACTCATTCTGATGAGCAAACATCAAATTTGGCAAGACCGAGCTCGGGCTGAGGTTTTGCAACTGTTTGGCAAGGATGAAATCCCAACTTTCCAAGGATTGAGCCATCTCAAAATAGTAAGTTCGTTATTCTCTAATCTTTCTATCTTCTTCTCAGAGATATTGATACTACCTTTGTTACATATTATTTGCAACGATTAGATATTTTTTCTCTCATCTTTATGTCAAATCATTGCAAATAATATGTAACGGAGGTAGTAAATTAAATGTTATTGAATATAGGAGTAATGATAATGGTAGGAGCGATGAGTTTTATTAAATGATGATGAGGGCCCGATTGATTTGAATGTTATTTTAATTGACTTGAACCCACTTAAAAGAACACTAGATTCGTCAAATTACTAAATGCAAATACACCTCTTTGTTGCAGGTAACTATGATTTTAAACGAAACTCTTAGACTTTACACACCAGCTTATATGCTCTTACGCAAAGTTTACAAGGACACAAAGTTACAGGACGTGTTGATTCCAGCAGGAACAGAAATTCTTTTGCCATTGTGTATTATTCATCAAGATATAAATCTATGGGGTAACGACGCTAAAGAGTTTAATCCAGAAAGATTTGCTCAAGGTATTTCTAAAGCAACCAAAGGCCAACCCATATATTTTCCCTTCAGTACCGGTCCTCGATTTTGCATCGGCCAAAACTTGTCCTTGTTAGAGGCCAAATTAACATTAGCTATGATTTTGCAACGTTTCTCTTTCGATGTCTCACCTACTTATATTCATGCACCTCATGGTACATTAACTGTAAGGCCTCAACATGGAGCCAACTTAATTTTAACCAAAATCTAGATTTGAAATAAATCAATAATCTTTGATCAATACAATGCATATGAGATAATGTATAAGCACTAGCTCGCTCCTACCTTGGATTGGATCGGATTTGATGGTCATAAAGGCTACATTTAATTTGCCTTATTTTAACTCGCTCCTACCTTTGGTCGGATTTGATGGTCATAAAGGCTACATTTAATTTGGCCTATTTTAGTATCTCATTGCATTTTTCAGATCATATCAGCAAAAAAAAGTTTAGAATAACCTTTATTGTTTTTAGATTTAACTTTATCGTTTTTATGGCTAGATATTTGATCTTGAATTCCTTCATTTGATATACTTGTATTTATTTTTATTTTTTTTGGTGAATTATCATATTATGTCAAATCAAACAATTAAATAATAAAAATAAGTTCAAAATTTCAAATCATGCAAATTAGTTAACCAAAAATAAAATTAACTGAACAAAGCCTAAATGGCTAATTCAATCACATAATACCTAATTTACTTCATCATTAATTGGCACTTGGTGATATTTATTCCATTTACATTTACGATTACAACACGTTACTAAGTATACCCACATTTACATGTAATTCATTTTCTCCAAAATCATTAAATCTAGAATAATTAAGGAAAAATTTGAATCCTTAATTCATCTCTTTTGAGAGTTCATGAACTTCATCCTAATTCATCTCTTTTGAAAGTTCATGAAATTCATGCCATAAGCAAAGCCGAACACAAAGAAAAGGACCCAACCAAGATGTGCCACAACAATGTAAGGCAGGAATTCATAGTCATAACCAAAGTATTCTTTCAGGAAAACCTTAACGGATATGTTGTTGCTACCTCCTGGCACAAGAAGAGTAGATTCGATGTCGCCAACTTGTGATGTCACGAGACCATATAATGTCAAGGAAACTGGGGAAGCCCAGTAAAACCATCTCCACCAAATTGGTATTTGCTACAATGAAATCAAATGTAACGCTCTAAGTTAGAAATTAAGGTAAGTGTTGATCGAAGCTAAACACAATTAGCTAAACTCGGGTTTATTTAATACATACGAGTACATGTTAACCTAATGCTTGTTGCCTAACATCTCCCTTAACCTTAATAAACCAAGAATAAATATGGATATAGGTCATGTATATTGAGTCAATTTATAACATGTAACTTCAAGTAATTAACTATTCTTTGATGTAATATAATGTTGTAACAATGTAACATGATTATAAGAGATAAATTACATAAAACTAGATGTTTAATTAAGGAAAAAAAAAAAAACATGATAACTAGAATTGGTTTATTAGACATTTCATAGATAATAAGTAGGAAGTGACATACCGGTCTAGGAATCAAAAAACCAGCAAATATGTTCCAAAAGCCGAGGAAGAAATTCATTATAATGGCGGAAATTTGATGACCCGGTGAAAGAGAAACGAGCATCATTCCATATAGTGTGAAGTAAAGGAAGCACATTAAGATGAAGAAGTAAAAGTATAGGAATTTCTCGATGTTCCATTCAAATCCAATCATGCAATATAGGATAAGAGTGTAAACAAGAGTTTGTATCACATTGTAAATTGCCTCTATTGCAACCTGTATGATATGAAAACAAATCCGAATAAAAGTTAAATTATACTATCAACGTGAAATTAATTTCAAACCAGAGCAAGTACATACACTTTTAAATTACTTTAACGTGATACACCTTTGTTACATTACCTGAGCAAACGTATAGGGTAGCGCGGAGTACATCCTAGCTGCTTTTTCGCGATAAAATATTGTCCTTTCAGTAGCAACAACAGCTTGCACAGCAGAAGTGTTAGTACCTCCAAGGAATAGTACAGCCGAGTACATGGCACCTAGGAGATTCATCAAGTCTTGCTCTTTAGATCTGTTCCATGACAACAAATACGCGTCATTAAACTAAAATAATCTTGGGATGGTACGGATACTTCATAATGTGATCAATAATAGTTAAGAAGAAGATAAATAAACTCACATTTTGCCTCCTTGATTCCAGAATAAAACACCAAAGACAAGGCCTATGAAAATAGTCATAGCAAATCGAGCAAGATTGTATTCTGAGTTCCTCCAATAAGACCAATATTGCTTCCAAAAACAAGCCTTAAATTGAACAAGGTATGGTTGAGAGTATTCGGTTGGGAAGTGGAGATCATTAGAATTCGGTGCAGGAGTGATAAGCTCTCTAATCAACTCTTGGTTCCTCCTAACAAAATGTATTATCTCTAGTTATCATCATAAATTATTGAAATAATAGATATTCATATCTAGACATTCCTAACAAAATGTATTATCTCTAGTTCTCATCATAAATTATTGAAATAATAGATATTCATATCTAGACATTTAAATTTGTAACTTACTGATAAAGCGAGGAGTTTGCATAATTATTTGCAAAATCAACCTCCAATTGAGACTCTACTTCAGGACTAGTGATATCAAGCACCCATGTTGCTGGATTATAACCGTCCTTGATTTTTGGCACCCCGGGAATGGCCTACAATTGATTCATTCAATGATCATCTAGGCAAAAGGCGCAATGTACATTAAAAAAAAAAACAGTACTCAAGCCATAGTCCATGTAAGTTCAAAGTTTGAAGACTATTGATAATGTTTTATGATTGGATTTCGTATGATGTCTCTATTAAACTTAGCAGATAAATAGATGGCATATAAGTACTTCGTTTTGTAATTGACATTTAATAAAAGATGTTAATGAATGGTCGAAGTTAGGCATTGAAGATTATATGAAACAGGGGAGTAGAGCTAAAACTATAAGTGCATCAAGTGAATAACATACTTCAAAGTACTTAATTAGCTCACAAGAGTTGTGACCAAGTGGTCCTGCATAGATTATGTGTCCTCCCCTTTTCATCAATAAGAGCTGCAATAATTCGGTAATAAATATAAATAAAAAAAATAAAATAAAAAAAATAAAATAAAAAATAAAAAAAAGAGCTGCAATAATAATGTACATGTTACATATACTATAAAAATTATTTATATGAAGAGAAAAAAGATATTTGAAGTAATACCTCATCGAAGGCCTCAAATATATTTATACTTGGCTGATGAATTGTGCAAACCACAGTCCGTCCAGTATCCACAGTATTTCTCACAGTGCGCATAACAATAGCCGCAGCTCTAGCATCAAGTCCGGATGTTGGTTCATCCATAAATATTATGGAAGGATTAGCAACTAACTCTACAGCTACTGTCAATCTTTTCCTTTGTTCTATTAAAAGGCCGTTCACCCCGGGAAGTCCAACTAGAGCATCCTTCAATGGTTTAAGCTCCACCAGATCCATTACTTCGTCAACAAACAGCTGTTATTGTTAAATTAAGTCATTTTTCATTGCATAGTTGATGAAAGGTAAGAAATTAAAGCTAACAATGTTTATTAAAATTAAACGTAATACTACTTCCATAGTTAGTAAAGAACGGGATCTTTTATCTTTTAATGACAATGATTCAATGAAGTATGTGTAAAGGTAACAAACCTTTCTTGCTGTAGTGTCCACTTCTGCAGAAAGACGAAGCCAACCCGAATATAAAAGGGATTCATAGACAGTAACGTGGGGTGAATGGATGTCATTTTGTTCACAATAACCACTGATCCGAGCAAAAGTTGCCTGATTTTTGGGGTACCCTGAGATCTTGATGCTTCCTTCAATATGGCCACCAGTTTTTCTTCCAGCGAGCACATCCATCAGTGTGGTCTTCCCCGCACCACTTACACCAACTAGTGCTGTCATAATCCCTGGCCTAAAAGCACCACTAACATCATTTAACAACTGAAGACGATCTTCATTGTAACCTTTGCCTTTCATTTCCTGTTGAAGATTATTAAGTCATCAATATAATTAATACTAGTACATCAACATTCAATAACCAAATGTTTTCAATTGAAATCCGAACTTACAGCAGACGTATCCACGTAGTAATTTACATGGTTGAATGTCAGTGAAAGAGGTTGAAAATGCAAAACCATTCCTCTTTTCGAAGCACCATTCACGAAAGAGCTACTATTACTCTTTACAAGAGTAACCTTCTTTTGGACCTCATCATCATCATCTAAGGGTATAGTTCTAGAATGACTAATAGCTGAAGAAACATTGTTATTAGTAAAGTTCAATAACAACATTATTATTTTACGTATTTTTTTTAAGTCAAGAAAAATGAAATCAAGGACTTACGATTTAAGTATGTCAATGACAGTATGTAGAATAAGTTGAAGATGAGAAAAAATCCTAATAAAGCTCCTATACAAATCCAAAACCAATATTGTTGTTTAAAAAAGCCTCTCGAGGATAGTATGACTTTGCCAATTGTCTGTTCATTGATTCTTGAATCCATATTAGGCTGCGAATTAAAAACATGTATAGATTAATAAGTATATATATCATACATACGTACCACATAAAAGATTAGATTGGTCAATATTATAGGTGGTTCATTACAACTATTACCTCCGTTTCTAATTTTTGCAACAAATGAATTTTTTATGTCTCACAAATAATACCCCTTTATTTATAAGGTAGTCTCTTGAAAACAACATGATCACGAATGATTTATCAAGGAAAAGGAAGCAACAGAAAGTGCACTTACTGTGCTCCATCGTTTGTCAAGAAATTCATTGATAACTATAGCATTTTGTCCGTACATCATAGGCGAAAGGTAGTATGCCCATTTCATCCAAGGTGCAATATCATCTGTAAAACACACACAATGTGAATTGCGGTAACAACAGATCATAACAAGTTCCCAATGCTAGGAAAATACGACGTAGAACATCCCATGAAGAATACGGAACTTGGAACAAAAGCAAAAAATTGAAAGCACGCATTGGTGAATTGATTACCTTTTGCAATAATGAATCCTCCTAGGACAAAAACAGACAGCAAGGTTAAGGTACAGATAGTACTAGCAATAACCATTGTCCTTCCAACGGCACCAAGCAAGCGAAAGAGGGACATTGCCATCAGATTTGTGCAGAAGAGTGCTAGCCAATGGCAAAAAAATCTGATAAAAATTGCACATAAACTTACTTTGGCTAAACACCACATAATTGATCATGGTTTTCATGATATAACAAAGCATGCATTTACGAAAAAAAA